ACATGATTTCAAAGTGTATTAATTTTGATTACAGTATAAAAATAGCATGAATTTAATTCTATTTTTTAAAAACTTTGACATATTTTCATTCTATTGTTTTTATGGTAGGCCACATTGGGTCCCAATTCTGAGAGAAGTGCAACATATAAACGAACAAGCAAGCAAGCATGTAGAATAAACATTTTGCTGAAATTCAGAGACATGTGCACACACATACACAGGCAACACAACAATCTCAAATCTGATTAGACATTACTATTGTAATTTAAGTAGAAATATAGCACAACTCACAAAGCATAGAAGACACATCATTTTCTCTTTTTTTGGTTGGGTTGCCATCTATACTAGTGAAGAAAGCAAAGCAAGTGACACTGAGGTAATCACTGCCTGCATGCACTTGATATAACAGGCGCTCAAGAAGAGTCTCAATCTCAAAGCAAGTCATGCAGAAGGAGAAGGAATAGAAGGCATCCCCAACAGGAGATACAGCAACAGACCCAATGAAGGCAGAAAAGAAGAACAGAAAGTCTTTTTTTAAACAGAGGAAACTGCATTGGCAACCATTCTGCCCAGTCTCTATGTACAGAGTTTGGATCAAGAGAATTGGTTTTTATGATAGGCAGCCGAGTCTGAATCTGGAGCAATTCCTACCTTAGCATCAAAATGAATGAAAAAAAAAATGTCTGGAGTCTGGGATATGATTATTTATATGGTCTGAAGGCAACAAAACCTATGATGCAGTGCGATGTAGAGTAAAATATATGTGAAGGATTGACACTTTCTATTTGTGGCCTTTAAATGGCAAAATTACAGTGTTTTGGCCATGAATAAAAATAAACCTGGATAACATCAAGTGGCTCCATCCAACAGAAAAACTGATATGCTATTGAAGAAATGAGGACACAACCTGAAAGTAGCTTATGGTTTAATCAAGTCACTGGATTTCTGGTTGGACACAAGTATGAAGTCAGGAAACTTGAAATATTGTTCCTTTTATGGGTTTCACGATATGTAATCCTTGTACAACCTTTTCCCTTGCGTAGATATTGTTAAACAACAGAACTGCTGTTTATGAAAATGCAATATTTGTTGAAAATTATAATAACACTGTGAATAAGATATGTGTGTGTTGATGTGAAAGATAGATTATAAATAGAAAGCTGGTGACAGGTCGTATGTAGATTCTTGTAGTCAAGTATAAATTTAGCAACTTGCTGTTGAGTATTTTTGGAAAATTATATGACCTTGTCTGCAAGCTGTTTGGAGAAAATGAAAAAGGAAACATATCTAATTTATTGTAAACACCTGAATTTTCTGCAGTAGTAATGCATATCTTCCCATAGGAGGAGAAATGGGTAGAAAAAAACTAGAATGTGATTATATAGGTCACATCATACTAGGTATGGCTCCTAAAGATCAACACAGATGAATGAGGCTCTAGTAGGCCTTGCACAGGAGATTTTCATGCTGGACCTTTCCTATAGTTGGGAAGAAGGGAAGGATTAAAGTGGTGAGCTATAGGACTGAAACTGAGCTAAAGATTACCAGTTCCAAGCAAGGATGTTTGCAAATGAACAGATCTCTGTGTGATTTCAAGCTATTGTGGAGAAAATGTGGGTAATATGTCCTCCAGATATTGTTGGATTAGAACTCCCATCATCCTTCATTCCATTATCCTTTGCTATGCCAGCAAAGAATGATAGGAATTGCAGTTCAACAATATCCAGATGGTCACAACCTGCTCACCCTGCACACACACACACACACACACACACACACACACACACACACACACACACACACACAAAAGCTGGCCTTGCCCTTTTAATGATACACACCACTCAACTCTATAGTAGAGATCTGTTACTATGTAACAGAAAAATACTCCATGAAACACTATAAAAATGCAGCAGAAACAAGCTTTGTTCTGTTTAATCTTAAAATATAGCTCAAAGAAAATAAACACAGTACAGATGAAGCTGTAAGCTGTTATAAGATTGGATTTCTGTCTTACTATATCCCCAGGTTATGCAGAACAAGTAAGGTCTAGGGTGCAGACTGGATCTCATATACTATAGTGAGTGGGCTAATCAAAGGTCTGTCACTTTTGGGAAAGGTGTGAAGACACACTTTTAATACTAAATGTAGCAACCCCAGACCTACTGGAGTACGCCACCATGTAGTTATGCTGCCACCAACCATTCCCTATAAGGAGTCACACAGACCAGGAATGGATTTTACTAAACAAAAGAACAAGGTTTATTGAAATAACAAACAGGGTAAATAAATAATCAGGTAAATAGGATAATGTAACGTGGCATAGCCCCAAACATACACATATAACAGATTGGTTCCCACAGAAAAATACTCCATGAAACACTATAAAAATACAGCAGAAACAAGGTTTGTTCTGTTTAATCTTAAAATATACCGTAGCTCAAAGAAAATAAACACAGTACAGATGAAGCTGTTATAAGATTGGATTTCTGTCTTACTATGTCCCCAGGTTATGCAGAACAAGTAAGGTCTAGGGTGTAGACTGGATCTCATAGACTACAGTGAGTGGGCTAATCAAAGGTCTGTCACTTTTGGGAAAGGTGTGAAGACACACTTTTAATACTAACCTACAATTATGATTAATTTATTGGGATGATAACTCTTCATAGATTTATTTTTAATGGTTTCTATGATGTTTCTACTTGCTTTTAAAGATTTTATAGCTGCCTTTGTTTCTACTGCTGTTTTAATTGTGTTTTATGATTGTGAGCTACCCTGAGTATTACTTCATCATGGAAAGTCAGCGTATAGATGTCAACAACATCAACACAGTAGCAACAATATTTTGTGAGATATATTTCTACTTTTGCTGATATTTGCTGTTGTTAGACATCTGCATTGCTGATAAAAATAATAAAAATAAAATGATAAACTTTTTAGCAAAAAAGAGAGATATCTGTTCCCAATAGTTTATGATCTAAATTATCTGAAGTATTTGTTCTTGTATGTGCTTCTTTGGTTTTTAAGTGATCCTTATAAGCCTTTCCTAGATACTCAGTACCTGCCTCTTTTTGAATCACTGCACAGAATCTTGTTTAAAATGTTCAACAGAGTAAATGGAGTTGAAATTGAGTTCTAAATATGTTTGCTGATGATAATTATCACAAAACATGGTATACTGGGTATCAGGATGTTATTGTTACACTCTTGTGTTCACTGCAGCAATACATATATGGGGTTGTGTCCAGGATCTGCTCGTTGGAAGGGTCCCTCTCATGGAAAGGGGGGGAAATATTGGGAGGTCTTTACCACTAGATTACAGCTCAGGGTTCCTTGAGCCTCTTGCAGTGTTTTCAGACAGCTGGAGAATCTACTGTTTGAAAGGACACGTAACAAATTGTACTTCTGGGAATCCGTCACTTCTGCTAATTCAACACAGACTTAAACTACTGAATGTACTTGCCAGTAAAATTATTCCTTGCTTTTCTTTTTTCGTGGAGTTCAAAATTGTATGTCTGAGACAATTTAAAGAAAGCTTTGTATCCGGGAATTGACCAGCTAGATCCAGATCTGCTCAGCTTCAGTAACAGGGATGTATCTTAGACCAAAACCGATTCTCATCACTGTCTTCACAATGTCTTAGGAAGGCAATCTGTTCTGGTGCAATTGTGAAAAGTTCTCATTCATACAATCAAAGGGCAAGTGACTTTGGGGTCCTGACACTCTGTGTCAGACATAATAAACCCATTTATTTGCCTTCCAATCAACAAAATACTACAGTGAATTAAATCAGAACACACTGAGAGCCCAAATTAGTTGATGTCCTGCTTTTGATTGGTTCAGCTGATGTAAACTGTGCACCTTTGTGTAACTTTTGCATTAAAATAAGTCTGCCAGCCTTATCAGCAGTTGGCTAAAAAAGGTAGGATATGAATGGTTTGGGGTTCTATAGGATCTAATCCTGTGTTTGTAGAAGGCTTTTAGATCCAGCAAGGAATACTAACTGTGGAACGGGATGGATGTGATTTATACACTCTTCTGCAGCCCCTGCACCTTGTGCCACCATGGCCCACCCAACTTTTTAGAGAATTGGGGGAGGGGTTCAAGAGGTTGAAAGGTGGAAAATTGGTGAAAAGTGCTTCATTCTGCACCACTCCTAGAAGCTTCTAACACATCAAAATAGACCAGTGTCAGTGTAGACTCAAGTGAAGAGATTGCAGTGAACAATACTGTGGTGTTCACCCTTGTGGCCCTTGTTTTATTTCGTCCTCACAAAGGCTCATGCTCCTTCCTCCTCCTCACGCTGCCACCAGATGTTACTTCTTTAACATCAAATAAGTACTGGACACTTATGCTGCCAAACACAATCAGTTTATTGAACAGGGTGGGGTTAATAATCAGTTGAAAACTGCAGTATAAATCACAGGAAAGAATCACATTTATTAAACAAAGTTTGGTTCATTCAAATCACTCTTTTAACTCTCTCTATCTATCTCTGACCCTCCTGGTCTAATTCCCAAGCCAACAGCTCTCCAGCCCTTTCCCAGCACACTCCCTCTCCTCTTTCCCCTCCCTGACTCCCAACCCCCTTCTGGCCCCGCCTTTCGGTCTCTCCATTGGCTCTCTCGTCAAGGTTCCACAGTGACAGACAGGTGATGTCTGGGCTATCCGCTACAAATACCATGTGAATTAGGCCCAATAAGCAACGTAAAGCAAGGGGCAGCCCCTTAAAAATGTTTTGGCCTTTGGCTCAACTGAGATATTCATTGGGAGGAGACATGGAGAATGTTAAGCTCTACCTGGCAGCTGCCAACATATTCCTAGGGTGCCTTCACATTATAATTTAAGCCACAGGAGAAAACTGATATTATAATTATGTTTATGCAAAATTTCTAATGGCTTATTTTGCATCATTAAGTTTGATAGCATTAGGTTTCTAGTTAAAAGGATTCCAAAGCAGGGTTTTGAATAGTATCACTGAAGTTTCCCTTCTCATTTAACAGTAAAGAAGAAATATTGGCAACGGCTGATGAAGACATATGGAATGATTTCAGGACTTCAGGTATAAACCGCAATTCATTTAGTTCTTCCTTACTGCACATGTTTTTTTTAAAAGGCAATAAAGCACCATAATGGATGTCATTCAAATATTTTTGCTAACTCTTTAGAATCAGACGTCCCCAAAATCCTTTATTCATATGTGGATGATAATGAAATTGAACGAAATAAAGAAAAGGCAAAAAGTACAAAAGTGAAACATCCTGAAGATGATAATGAAAATGAAAAAGAATTAGAGTTGCTGGTGAGTGTTATGCATTTATTTATTTAGTAAAAACTATTTTTTTTCTGAAAGAGAGGATAGTCTTTCCCAACATATGGGTATTAAGTTGTCCACCAATGCTACACCAGTGGTGGAGCATCAACTGCATTTTAAACATGATCAATGGGACAAGAGGCTTTGAAGCAGTCTTCTTCATTATCCCTAGTTTAATAACATATTTCTCCTTTTCTTTTATCACAGGCTATAAGTAGCAGTTTCAACCTAGAAGTCCTATGTTTCTGAGTTTTCTGACGAGTATTTTTTACTTATACAGTTATTGCATTCAGTGCAGTTCTTTTGTTCTATTTTTTTGGGGGGGGGGCGGGCTTACACAGGCTCTGGTCGGGACTGTTTGTCTATCAGTTAGAGGCCTGAAAAGCAACAATGGTAGGTAGGGTCTTGTGAGCCTCCTTAAGTTTTCTTCTGAGCCTTGTCCATGAATATTGTCATTGCTAGCATTCATCAGCCATGTAAAATTTTTAAATCAGCGTATTGATACTACATATTGTCCTGAATCCAAGACCCAATGTTGCCATACCCTACATTGAATTAGTGATTTTACATAAGTTTAGTCCCTATTGAACAGCTGATTCAGTGGGTTTACTCTGGTCCCAAGAATAGCAATTGGATTTAGACCATTATTTTCATCCTACATGTTACATATGGTTGGCGAGAATTTGTGAGTTTTACAAAATTGGAAAGGAATGATACTGTTATCATTTTGGGCACAAAACAATTTGTACGTAGCTAAAAAAATTATGGTGTATAACGGCATGACCTTGGGAATGTACTGAAAGTGAAACACATGCGACAACATATTCAGAATGAACACCACACAATCTAGTTGGGAGAGTGGGAACGAGCACTGATTCTCCACATATAAGCACTAAACTTTCCTAGTTCAAACTTCAGGAGTTGTCACCTGGTGTGGGAGCTTTCACTGCCTGAATAATCAGCATCTTGGTACCATTATTATTATTTTGTTCAGAAAGAGACAGCTAGAGGAAGCTATGAAGAACCATGGTATATCCTTAATACTCCCAGATAATGAAAATATGGAAATTTAACAGTTTTTTTTAAAAAAAATCAAAGTAATCATCTGCACAATAAATGAGAATTGTATATGTCTGTGCCATTCAGATTTTAATTTATCTTATATGCTGTGTAATGAATTAAACAATGGAGATCTATAATAAATGGAAATGCAACCAAATCTTTGAAACCCATAGGCAGTGGCTCACAAGACAGCTCAGCAGTTGACAAGTAACATGAGCCTTATGTGAGAAGAAGGGGAAATCGTAAGATTTGCATATAATTATTGAGATCATGCAAATGTCAGTTATGAGGAGAGAGAGAAAGGGAGGGAGAAAAACCCAGGCATCTCACTATTAAATCCTGACAGTTGGCATCACTGAAGAACTCAGATACATTTGAGCACCAGTTGGCAGAGGGTCATTAAAACAGAATTTGCAGAAACATTAGTTCCTTCACTTTTCTTTGAGTGACGTTTTACTATTAATAGTTTGCAGAGGCTTTGCAGAAAACATATTAATAAGAGACACTGTAATGGGGGAGCACAGTTATTGCTGCTGCAAGTGTACATGTAATAAGTGTGGTGCCCAAGAAGCTACTCTCTAATTGATGGGAAAGGTACCATCCATCTGAGTATTTGAAAGCAAGAGAAGAACACCTATGACAAGCAAATGCTGGGAAGCTATATAATTTTATATTTCAGTGATATGGAAGAAACTTATGCATTGGAGCCTTTGCATTCCCTAACTCATTTTATACTTTTTAGAGGCCAAGAAACATTCTACATGGAAGCCCTTTAAAAAGAGCCCTGAGAGGAATGAAGCAAAGATTAATCCCTTACAGTATTTGTCAGTGTGCAAATGTGTCTTTATTTTACTGGACAATACGGTACATTCTCTGGCTTTGATGTACCGTGTCATTGCGCTCACTTTAAAAGAAAACATGCCGAGAGTGGAATGTGCTCTGTGAATGAATTAGCTTCCCTTGTAGGGAATATTCTCTTTAGGATTCATTTGTACAAAATGGACTTGCAGCTTACTGAGCTCATGAATAAAGAGGGTGGGATGTGAGAAAGAGAGGTGGAAAGCTTAATAATATTTTGTTCCTCACTTTCACACAGTCTTCTGACACCGTCTGTCCATTTTAAAAAAAATGCAACCTACGTTTGTAGGTGCTTTGGAAGCATTTTTTTTCTACAGCTTTTCTTGTTGAGAACAAAGTTTCTCTTAATTAAAAACCACTTTCGGGTGTGTGTGTGTATATGATTGTATACGTATACATATATACACAAATGTACCTTTATTTCTAACTTATTCTGACCAATCTTTTTGATTCTGTTGTTTCAGTTAGGTCAGCACTTCACTAGCACAGCTGGTTGCTCCAGGGATGAAAGGAGTCTGGATACAACAGAGCCAGTCAGATTTCAAAATGAACCACGAGAATTTGGGGACAAGGTAGACTCTGGCTTGCTCAGGCAACCTCTGCCTATAAGTTCTTCATCTGAACATGCATTACAGAACAAAGAACTGCACAGTAAAGAAATGTATTCTGCAGGGGATGAGTACAGTCAGTCATCCCCAGAAAAACTCCCTGTGATAGACTCAGCAAACATTACTGCAGTGCCTTCAGAATGTTTCACCCCCAGTGAAAGCATTTTGTCACCAGAGTATCAATTCGGAGCAAAGCAAAATGAAGCTGCCAAAAATGAGGAGGTTTTCTTAACCAAACATGGAACATGTCCTGCAGATGTTCAAAAAGATGAGTCTCGTAGTCCCCCAGGAAGTAAAACAATAGAGGAGTTGTTCATCAGTGCAGATGATTATGATCACCACGAAACAGTATGGGAGGCAAGGCCTAAAGGAGTTCCTTTAGAGCACAGTGAAGGAATCCAGTTGAGAGGAGAAGTGTCAGAAGTATTGAACGACAATGCTAAGCCATTTCAAGAGCAACAAATGAAAGAAATATCATCTCAGATTCTTAGCTCCACTTCGGAAAGCACTGCCAAAAATGAACCAGAAGGGGAGATGTTTGAACACAAAAATAAGGAATATTTTAGAGGAGAGTTAAATACCAATAACATAGCCTATGACAATGTCACAATACATTGTTTGAGAAGTTCAGATGCAGAAGATGAAATTGTGGAAGGAAAATATAAGACTGAGTTCAATGTTGATAAGAGCAAAGAAATCAAGTTAAGCATTTTAGAGCAATCTCCAGAAGAGGAACAAGTCTACTCAACTGTTGGGCATGGAAAACATTGTACACAAGACAGCAATGAAATGACCAGAACAGGTAAGTCACTCCAAGGAGAAGTCATGAAGACCGGTGTGCTAGGTGAAGCAAAAGATAAGAATATTTACGAATCTCTAGAGGGGCTGCATCAAAATGACAGAGGAAGTGCAGGGAAAAGTAACAAACAGCAAGAAAGCACATGTTCTCTTCCAGGTAAATTAAGTCAGGATCTGAAGAGAACACAGAGTCGATATCTAGAAGATAGTCAGAATACAAGTAGGTACTGCATAAGTTGTCCAGATTTTGGAATGCCAGCTGATGAACATGTCTCTACACATTCTGCATCAATAAATCTAGAGGATGTGAATGATACTAGTGGGAATTTGGGGAAAGGGAAGTACAGTCAGAGAGATGAGCCAGAAAACATTTTAGAGGCAGAGCCCTGCCAAAGTACACTTGACAGAATTACAGTTGGTGATCAGAGGAGTCAGGTCAGGTGGGGGAATAAAAGCTGGAGTGACTTAGAAAGTCGACAGACAGACGGAGAAAGTGAAGCAAATAAAAGAGTGCAGATGAAAGAGGGAACAGGTGGTGAAGCCATGTGGGGAATTAGAGAGAGCACACAGTGTTTGAATGTAACTCCCACAGATGAATTGTTTACCTGCCAAGACCCAGTGAGATGTGAAGAGACTTCAGTAGCTAAGCATGATAGTACAGGAGAAACAGAAGCAGTTACAGCCGCTTATATAATTAAAGCGACATCAGAACATACTCCAGAAAAAATGTCTGCTGGTGAAAAAGCAGTAATTGTTAAGCTACCTCAAGAGACTGCACTAAGTGACAGGCCCACAGAAGAGAGGGAAACAGTGCTTGATATACATGAAGGGGGAAATGATGGTTCACATTATCCTCTTTGTCAATGCAATACAGTGGGTGTATTATATGACACCAAATTTGAAAAGGAACCAGTTTCAGATATTTGCAATGCACACATACATGAAATGGTGCACGGCGAAATGATTTCAATGTGCAGTACCAGCGAAGCACACACTAGAGCAGATCATAACACTGGATGTGACTCCCCATCAGCTGAAACATTATGGAATTCTTCTGCAGAAGGAAAAGCCATTCCTGACCAGGATTTATATTTGAAAACAACACTGAAATCTTCACGAGAATTTCCACAAAGCCTGTATAATGAAGCGGCTGAAGAGGGAAGTATGTGGGAAAAGTTTCACCATGGAAGTGCAAAAACTGAAAACAAAGTACCTCCTGCTGATATAAATATTGCAGGAAGCTGTTATGAAAGTCCCTCAGTGACCTCTTCTGAAGAATCCGTGGAAGCTCATACTGCTGAGGGAGGGGAAATAATGCCTCCATACACTTATGCTTCAGTTGAAATGATGGCCGGATCAGGATGTGATTCCAATGAAACAAATGAAATGTCTCACACTATTATTCCAAATCTTCCTTTGGAAGGCCAGCTATCTTCTAGTGAGCATGGAGAAAGAAGTATAGGTCAGTTTTCCCATCAACTAGAGTTCAACGAGGGAAAGCTGTTAGGGCCAACCATTGTAATTAGTGAGCCTGCTGAAGAAAAAGAAGAGACAAGGTCAGAAACTGAAGGCTTAGGAACTGAAATAAAGCAGAATATTGAAGGGCACGAGAACCTGGATGTTTCTGATCCTGGAGAACCTCCTGGCCAGCAAAGTGAACCTTTAAGTTTATCTTCCGAGTATCTCGTTTTAAAGCATATTGGTTACAAAATACTCTACTTCCTCTTGTTTGTTGTGTTTTGTGTTACATTGTACCACTATGATTTAATTGTCTGCTTTGCCCTTTACTTATTCTCGCTGTATTGGCTCTACTGTGAGGGCAGGAAGAGCAAAGAAGCTGTTAAAAAGGACTAGCATAAAGGTTCTTCACTGCCCACATAGAAGTCCTTAAAACTTAATCTCAGTAGATACCAATGGACAGCAGTGTGCACTCCTAGAGCCAGTGCAAGACCCCCCCCTCCCCCCTTGGAAAACTGCTTAAACAGAAGGCACACAAAGCTTGCTCCTTCATATAAGTAATTATTCTGCATAGGACCATTCTGTCTGGATCATTAAATACCTATCTGAGTATGAGTTCTGAAGCACGTCAAGTTAAAATTAAGTACAGCTGGTGCTCCTTATCACGTTATGAAAATGTGAAGCCTCAGTCTCTTCCAATGACTTTTATCACGGCCATTTGTTTTGTAGTATAGCTTCATTTACTGAGGGTTTTTTTTTTTTTAAAAAAGATTTTGTATAGAGAGTAACTAAAGAGAGAATGGCATTATAACTAACTGAGTAATAGGGCATGCCCACTCAGGAGTTTCCAGTTGTACTGTGTATTTGGTACCTTCACACTAAAACAGAAGGATGAAAAATAGATGCCTCCCCAGCAGTGATGTGCTTTGCTCAGCATTCCTTTGTGTAAACTGTCCCACCTGCGCTCCTCTCACAATTTTGCTATTCTGTCAATGGGGACAAAGGGGTGATTCTAACCAAATTAACTGGGTCAGGTTGGCTGAAATCTGTGATCAAACTGGAGCTCTTTCTCCCTTCCAAACTCTGCCGCATGGACACGTGCTCAATATGTTAATATTGATCCCGGGCAGTGAAAGAGCACAAGGGTTGTGCCCCATGCATTGAATGAGCTACTGCTATAATTAATGGATATTCTTCAGCAAAAGAACTCACTTTATGTTGTTTTCATTGTAATTAGTTATATCAATAATATTAACCTCTGCATATGGTAATACCAGTTGTAAACACTGTGTATAATTTAAAAATGCTAAGCAGGAAGATCAGGGCCCCAGGCACATCACAGAACTAATAACAGATTGACAAAGACCTAAGGATACAAACTGGAACCCAGTTGTCTTTGGATGATGTTTTTATATATATATATATATTGTAAATGTGTAACACAAGGAAAGATTTCACTTAATTTGTGCCTTATTCTAGTTGGATTTTTTGGAATGATGTTGTTTTGATCATGTACTTAAGAAAGGGAATCTTGGTAAGCACTGAATGATGGCAATAAACAAAGTTTCAATGGTGTGATTGTCTGTGGAATACTTGGACATCTCACAGGAAAAGTCTGAATCCTTGTACAACCCTGCTGGATTCTGCAGTTACAGTAGAGAGTCCTTAAAGTCCATACAGGCAATTCATATTTCTCTGCTGACAAGTAAGCAAATACACTGATTGGTTCGACCAGTTGAATTGCAAATGAAAAGATACCAGGAAGGAAGAGAACCAGGGATGCATCATATAGCCAACCATAGTGCTTTTCTGTAAATTATCCGTGTGTTTTCCAGGACTCCCTAAATCTCAGTTGTAGAATCACTGGCTTAAATCCAATATAATCAGGAAACAGTGACCTATAGGCTTCCATTGGCTTCTAGTTGTACAAGTGGTAACACACTTGTTCTTGGGGGTTCTCAACATGCCACTGCTTATGCAACTGCTTTTGAAACAGTTCATGCATAGCTGCTTACATTGTATTATTTGTGCAACTGAAAATTGCCATAGTATTTCCCTCTTGCACATAATCAAAAACTAGATTCCATGAATGGAACATTTGTTAATGCAGGATATCAATTCCTAGAACATCTCTGTTGGGTGATAAGCTAACCACCACTTGAAAATCTATAATGAACATTTTCATCAATAAAGCTCTACTTCTGTCATGGCACTGTGCTACCCATGTATCCTAAAATGAAAACTGGATTTTTGCAGAGATCTTAGTTAGCATCTAATGGTAGGATAAGTATCATTACGTGTAGCAGAGCAGTCCAGTGAAATGTTACAAATATGTCTATAGTAGATATCTGTCTATCTTATCCTGCCTCCTGGCAATTCAAAGCTATATTTTGACTTCATACAAGCTTCCTGATCTAAGTTGAGTTGAAAAGCATGGAATAACTTGGGTCATTGTATAGTTTCCATGGTGGGGCTCTACACACCTGAGTGTCACAGCTGAATCAGAATACTGGGCATATGTTTGGGTAGTGTAATATACACTTAGAGATTTGATGGCCAAAAATTACCAAAGACAAATATACCAGAAGTGCTCAAACATGAGTATGTGTGTGAGTATGTGGGATAAGTGGAGATGTAGTTTGCAGCATTGTAAGAAGGGTTTCAAAGGGAAAAGAAAGAAAGGTCTTTTGATGCTTCACTTCCAATACCCATCAGGAAGATCACTTGGGATTTTCACAACACAACTTTATTCATGTTATCCTATTAGGCTCAGTAGAGTTAATGCCCTAATAAGGATGGCAGACTCTTCCTCACCCCTGTTTATTGTTAATAGTTCTACCCCATAGCAGCAGTAAAGAGAGAAAAATAACACAAGCAAATAACTCATGGCATCAGAAGTGAGCACATTATATACTTCATTTATTCACTTACTTGCTTGGATAGAGTGCTTTATACCAGGATATCTTCTGTAACACTGGTTCTCGATACTGTATTTGGATCTTCAGGTTTTTTTTTTTTTACTACATTTCCCAAAAATCCCTGTCTATTGGATATGTTTGCTTGGGCTTCTGAGAACTGAAATCCAAGTCATTTGGAGAGTAAAAGTTGAGAACCAGCAATTCGCACATCTAAAATGAACAGGAAAAAGTGAGAGTGCAGGGAGATGATGACATGACTGGGAGGGAAAAGAGGTGGGTTTGAGAACTGCTAAATAGTTCAGTCTGCAGAGCCAGAGGCTGAGTTCATCATCAGCTTAGAACTTAGAATTCCCCACTGTGCCTCCCTGACAGGGCTGGACTTGATGATCCATAGGGTCCCTTCCAGCTCTGCAGTTTTAAGATGATGACAACGATGACGATAATGACTCATTGGGAGCTCTAACATGCAATCTGAGACAAGAGTTTCACCACCGTACTACAAGTACAGTGTTTGCAGTTGGTGATAGTTTTCCACCATGTTAAAACTGTGAAGTATACACACTCTTGATGCTACATGTCAAAAATTTGGCAGGTTTGCTTTCCTATTTAGGGTCCTTCTCATTTTCAAATTCAATGCACATCAATGCAAAAACATTTTTTTATAGCTGTTAGCATTTGTAAAACCCACATATAGTGCAATGAAGAAATGTGTGTGTGTTTGAATAATCAAACAAAAGTTTGTGGATGAGAATCTCTGCACAGAGGAAAATATGGCAAGGGAAACAGGTAAAGTATTCCAATATCAGCCACAAAATAAAATATCAGATTGCCTGTAATACATGTATTTCATCTCTGTATGTGAGACAGAATTTTATTTATTTTTCTTCTCAGAGCAACAAAAAGAAATAGAAGAAAACTCAACATTTTTCCAATTGATGTGTTCTGTTTATTGCTTCTCGAAGACATTTTTCATTGTCTGTTTTTCATTTCAGCAGCTACTGTGGTGAGTGCAGAGCTGCTTTAATTACAGTGTAAGCACTTCGTAATTTCAAATGATTGTTGCTCAGTCTCAAGCCAACACTAAATAAACATCCATAAATACATTTACCTCTCTGCCCATGAATTTCCAGTCAAGTCTCCCATTTAGAATGTCCAAGTAGTTGTGACTGGACTTTAGAATAAATATTTGGACATTTGAAAAGGTTAGTTTCAGCTAAACCGAGTGGAATAATGTTAGCCTTTCTCAAGTCTCCAATGGCTTTTCTACATTCTGTATTTAAGATGTTTAGTTAGTGCATCTTATGATTGCAAAGTATAACTCTTGAGTGTTTCTTGAAAGCAGCTGTTTGAACTGTTAAACTTGAATGTTGAAGTTAGCAGGTTTCATTCTTTTGTTTACCATTTGATAAGATAGCTTAAAAAGTGTTTTGCTTCTATGTGTAATATGAAAATACAACACCAGGAAGTGTGGGGAAAAAAAGATTGTCGATCCAAATCTACAACTGAAGAACTGATTTGCTGATCCATATACACCCCCATTTCTTTGAAACCTGGAGCTATTGTTTAACCATCCAGTTGTGCTCGGAGGGTATTTTTTAATCCCCAAGTAATAGCCACTTCCCCACACTAAAGCAAATAGTATGAAGCATGCTCTGCAGTTGTCACAGTGCCATCAACTGATGGCAACTATTACTGTTGTTATTGTTTCAACTTCTTTTTAAGATGGGAAAGCATACTTCTTTTAAATTATACCAAGCTTGAGAAGCACAGGATATCCCAACAAATTCCCTCTGAAAAATAATAGGGTAACTTCAGCCTTTTTGCATTTATGTTCAATTTGCAGACAATTTTATTCAGTTAAAGTTAGTCTGACAGCATATGCAGTGTTGAGTTTGCATATACAGTGGCAGACTATAGGGCTGTACACTACACATCCAGACCTAAATCCAGTGATTAATCCCTAGATTAATACCTGTTAGACTGGATTTACTAATTCAACAGAATTCAGGTATTGATTTACCTGTTCATTCAGTATGTCATTTCTAGTTGGACCTACCTAGAGTTCATCTTAAATGTTTAATATGATGATTCATAACTAGGGTGTGCCCCTAGTGGGGCATATCCAGGTTTCAATGAAAGTGTGCGTTGTCTGGGAGGAAAAATTAGTATCATCTTTTTGTTTTTTGTGTGTTTCTTTTTGGAAAGTAGTACAAGGTAATTTTACTTATCATTTTCTTACTATGAAGTTTATGCTATAATCCTATGGAGTGCAGTAAAAGTGTGCTGTGCAGTAAAAGTAGTGTAAATTCCTCAAAATACATGTTTATTTCCCCTAAATTTACAATTGTTTTTATTTGGTTCTAATCACAATATTTCAGATTTTCAAATAAAGTGACTGGGTTAGGAAAGTTTGAAGAGGAATATGAGATTTCTAATGTTTGTCAACAAGACTTTAAAAAGGTGAGAAACATGCATCTAGTATTTTGTAAACCACTTTTAAATCTATGTATGGTAAAGCAGCATATACAATTTTGAAAACAGTTTGATGCCTCCAATGTAGAAAAGAAGCTGATGGTGAGGAAAGTACATCCCATTCTCTGGAACGAAAGAAAAGATGCAAGGAGTGACAAGTAGGTGAGCATGTGCTATAGCCAAATTTAGGGTAGGCTACTTTTTTCTCCCCATCGTGTGACAGCTCGTAACTACCTTGCCATTTCTGCCTACAGCTCTGACCTTTGCTTAAATCACATGCTGAAATGCATCGTAAACCCCGAGTACAGGAAGACACTGTTTTACTAATTTGATAATGTGCTGGGTTGTCGTGGAAAAGAAGTGTTTAGAC